TGATTGGCTGAGCGTCTCCGGTATTAATTTTATACTTTACTATGCTTGTTTTGCCATTATCCTTCTTATCAATGGCAAAAACATCTTGAAATTTTATCAGCATAGACTTCACTTTTTTAGTTCGTTCATCATCAAGATCTTGGCACGTTTTAATCATCGTCTCAACAAGCTCCTTTGGATACTTAGATTTCGACGGTTTCTCATTAGTACTCATGGAACAAATCGAAGCCACAGGAACACACTGCCCGATCAAAGTTCTTTTACTTAACTTAATAGCAGTTCCCTTTAAATTCATGACTCTTACAGGAACGACATCTCGAATTCTCACCAAAGCTTTTGCCTTTAGGAATTAGGCATTGTTCACATCTTCGACCATCCTTAAACTTCCCTCTCGGCAGTAACCATCAGGTCTGGTCATCAAAATTTTCTCACTATTACCGGGTATTGTTACGTCACAAGTAGTTATTAAGCTGATAACATCTTCTTTGTCTTCATGAAACGGCAACTCTTCACCACTGATCTTGAGAACTCCATCTTTGACATTCAATACAGCCCCAACTTTCCGTAGTAAATCCATCCCCAATATGAACTCGTCGAAGATCTTTGCAATTAATACTCGATGTTTCACTGTGGTCTGGCCAATGGATACTGACATATTAGCCTCCCCATATGTGTTAATTATCTCACCAGTTGCTGTTCTAAGCTTTTACTGCTGAAGGCGATAATTTAAGATAGTCTCGTACTACTTCTGGCCGTGCTATAGTTCTTGTTGCACCTGTATCTACCAAAAACGATATACATTTATTATTAATACGACCCTCGATGTACAAGCTATGAATTCCACCGGAGGACGTAATGTTCACAGTTACTATGGGGGCTGTGTTTCTCGAGGTCGGCAGTTACCCCTTAGTGTCGACCCGTTCTAGTTTTCCGACTGTTGTATCATTTTCTTGCAATTACGGCGAATGTGACCTACGTCACCACAATTCCAACATCTGGGCTCGCGTCTCTTCGGCATCGTGTTATGAACTATTTTTCGTACCATTTCTTCTAGACGTTCATCGTTTGGTTCGTCGCCTTCTTCAATGGTTCTTACTCGATGGCTCCGTGAAGTTTGACTAGCTGTTTCATGTTCTAAGGCAATAGCGAGCGCTTCATCTAGAACTTTCGGTCTTGCTAGTCGTAAAGCTTTCTGTAATTCACTTTCTTTTAACCCATTGACGAAGGTATCTACGGCAATTTCTTCCAAAATGTTGTTTGGTACCTCCGGATAAGCCAACCGCATTATACAAGCAACATCTGCTTCAAACTCTTGCAAATTCTCACTTGCTCGTTGAGTTTTACTTCTTAGTTGCGCCTTGTAGACTTGTTGTAGATGGGCATCTCCGTAACGTTTGTCTAGTCGAGTGAACAAGGTCTGGTAACATTTTTCTTGACCCTTAGGAATCGATCTTAGGATATCTGCAGCATCACCTCGTAAAGCAGCAGTCAAGGAAACAGCTTTTTCTGTTCTGTCCAATGAATGGCTGTCGCAATAGCTTTAAATTGTCTAAAGTATATGGACCAAGAGGACTTTCCATCAAATAGTGGCAATTTGAATCTCATATGATGTGTCATTTCGTCTCTAGGTGATTCTTCTTTCACTACCGGATCTAAAGGTACTGTGTTAACTGGTGGTAGCATTTTTGTGTTAGTCATCAAGGTCTCTAATTGTTTGATCTTCTCTTCTACGTTGTTTACATTTTTCTGTATCTGATCGAATGTTTTAGAGACTTCTTCAAATTTCTCATTGTTCTTTTTAGAAGTTTCTTCCATTGTTTGAGAAACATTTTCAAATTTCTCGTCAAATCTTCTAGACACATTTTCGAGTTTCTCGTCATTTTGTCTAGCTACTTCTTTAATAATTTGTGAAGTCTCGTCGAATCTTCTAGATACATTTTCAAATGTTTCATCAAATCGTTTGGAAACGTTCTCTAATTTATCATCATTTTTTTTAGAAGATTCTTCAATTTTTTCTTCTTCGAAGTTTCTTCAATAATCATTTGAGACGTTTCATCGAATCTTTTGGAAACGTTCTCGAATTTTCCATCAATTATTTTAGTTAAAACGGCTTCTTCTGCTGATTTGAACTGGAATGTCTCTGGGTCTTCTCCATTCTTGTTGAGAACAGTCTTTAGTCGTTCTTTTAGTATCTTCTTGGACCCGCTGCAATCTTCATCGCGTTCTTCTAGTTGCTCACGCAACTGTTTTACTGAAAGTTCTACTAGCAGCATCTTTGGTCAGACACACAAGTAACTTTTTTAAAATGTTCTTTAGTACAAAGTTCACTGCCGAACTACGCGAATGTTCCCGACGAACAATACTTTTCAAAAGTTCAAAAGTCTTTTTCAAAAGTCACTGTTGAATTGATTTTCAAATCTCACACTGGACACCTACTGTAGAGAGATTAAATAAAACGAGCGGTTCGAATTTATATAAATATATTTATTTACAACTTTAAAGTTCGGTATTCTCTTATCAACTAAACTTAACTCCTAATTTCGTTACGTATATATACCAAAGTATTATGTTCGAGAATATTCGGGACTAGTCCCACCTCTAATTCGTTATTTGACGGGTGGAATTTTACAGCGCTTTGATATATCGCCGAAACTTCTGGGTGCTACGAGATGCGACCCTTAGGCGAGCCACTCTGAATGCATGTTCGTAACAATATAAAATATATAAAGACCGTGCACAATTTATTATCTAATCTTCAAACAAAAGAAACCTTAATTTAGTTATCTCCTTTTTAACCAAGTGAGGTAGGTACTTATCATCAAATAAAACTATATATCCTCCAATGACTGCTAGTTTCTTTTTATTATTCGTAGCACAGTGGAAAACAGATAAACACATCAACCATTATCAACAATTCCTTTATACCCTACGGTCCACAGCAAAGTTACTTTGTTGTGCCTTGTCAGATACTTGAGGGACTGTTTGCAGTTCCAAGCTGGTGTAGATTTCAGCGGCTTCAACGCATCTTGACTGTCGGGTAAAATTATTATTTTGGCTAAATTCAGACGTTCTTGTTGCACCTTGTCAATTGATTAAGGGACTTTTTGCAGTTCTAAACTTGTGTAGATTTTAGCGTCCTCAATGCAGTTTGACTGTCAGAAATAATAAATATTTTGGGGTGTTTTAAACATACAACGGCATCTTGAACACAAAAATCGACTACTAATAGTTTACTTGAAATAGTTTTACTTGAAATTTCATTTTATGTTAACTCACACTTGTCTGTAATAATATTTAGTGTAAGTTGGAAATCTTATGTTGCAATCATAATCTCTGTAAATATCCTCATGTATTGCATTGTTTCAACCTTCAAAATCGCTAGATATCCAGTCAGATCGGCGAATTTTAGATTCTGGACCCATGGCAGCCTAGAGGCACTTTCCAGAGTGACTTCTTTTACATTTATGTGCAGATGAGCAGGTTACAGCATTACGTCTAAGGTTGTAGTGGGTATAATAACATTGCACTCTTGATTCCTATACAAGAAAGTCTTTGCACTTTTTGCAATTTCTTTATTGCTTTTGCTCCAATATTTTGTTGCACTAAATCTGTGCAACATAAATAACTATAACTAATAGACCCCACTGCTTGTCACAAAGTAAATGGTACTTCTAACAAACCCATGTTGCCTAAGTGGTAATATTTGCGAGGTGAGCATTCCACGCAAGTTTTCTATTTTGGATAGATTTAAACTCGTTTGAAAATGATAGTGGTGTTCCCTTCATGGTCGAAGGTTAAATTCTTAATTTTCTCCTATTTGTGAGTAAAATAACTGTTATTTTATTAGGCTTTTGTGAAAGTAAACACCATCTAGATACTAAATGTATGACATCTTCCATTTGATCAGCAATAATACTGTCATTCTTACCTCTAACGACTATAAATAAATCGTCTGCATAGCCCTGAAGACGAAATCCGTCTTTTTGAGTTTTTTAAAAGATCTTTAACCACTACCGACTACATAGAGGTGATAAGACTTATCCTTGAGAAGAACTTTTTACTTCTTATATAATGGCCGACTGATCTATGTATGATAATTATGCAATGATTCACTCTGCCTTGTGGCCTTAATTTTGTCTTTTCAGCTTTATTGCAGAACATGTAATAAACTTATTGAGTATTTTAATTGCTTTTTTAATATCATTCAAAATATATCATCCAAAAAGCTGTCTACTATGTTTAACTAAAATTGTGGTTAATTCCCATTAAAAATAGTAAATAATATTAAAATGCTACAAGAAATTAGCTTTATAGTCGTCCCTATCCATTGCCTTTTTTCCCCAAGTACGTATTCCCATATTTCTCATGTCTTCATCGATGTTATCAAGGAACCTTGTTCTGGGTCTTCCTCTTCGTCTCTGACCAATGGATCTATCAAGGAGCGTTTTTCTAACTGGGTCACTTTGTTCCATCTGCGTTGCACGGCTTATCCACCTCAAACGTCCTATCTTAATATGTTATCGATATCGGGTTCCTGGCATATTCTACAAAGTTCGAGGTTGTATCGTCTTCTCCACACTCCATTGTCATTCACTGCACAATAGATTCGCCTTAGGATTTTTTTTCGAAACATCCTAACATGTTTTCATTATATTTTGTTATAGTCCAGGTCTCTGAACCATATGTTAGGACTAGGCATATTATTGTTTTGTAGATTTTTATTTTTGTATTTCTCGATATAATTGAGGAGATTGAGCCAAAATAGCATCTGTTGGCCTTGCAAATTCTGCGATTTATCACTGCGGTAGCATTATTTTCAATGGTAAGGAGCGCTCCCAGGTATCTAAATTCATTCACTACTTCGATGACGTCGTTTTCTATAACAAGCGGTCGTAGGATTTGTGGTTGCGTGCTTATCTTAATATTTACTTTATAGCTGAAATTCTTTTTAAAATTTTAAGAATGAATTTTCCTATTAAATTACATTTTTGTTAACCTAGGGCAGTGAGGAGAAAAAAGATATATCCAAGGTGGGTGAAACTTGAATTTCCAGAGGTAATGGCAGGGAGTCCTACAATAAAAAAGAGTAACACTGATATTTCTTCAGATACATTAACACAAATTTTTAAGGGTACTCCTGTATATAGTGGAGTTGTTGAAGCTAGAGCATGTGTTATTACCAGATTTGAAGAAATAGACCAACTAAAGATAGGTAAGTTTTCTGTAGTTATGTCATAAAACTTATAAATTAATGGTAGGATTAATGTGTACGTTGAATTATGATTTCACTTTCCATGTTTTTAGTATGATAACTTTGTAAGCTCAGCATGTCAGTTTATCATTCCTTATTATAAAATTTCAATACAAAATTCCGTACCATCGGCTTTGCAAGCTTATAATTTCAGCATCTTTCTACTATTGCTAATAGAACTATTATGACTATTAATACAACTATTTTCTATTTTTCTCATCTCTCTTAACAAGCTATAGGGGCCTAGTCACAGTGCATTTATTTATTTCATATATTTACATTAATTATTATAATTTTTAATAATTTACAATAAAATTTATTGTATCGTGGATATTTCTTTCCACTTAGAGGTCTTTAATTTCGAAAGCTATACCACATCGGAAACCAGCCCGGTATTTTTCCATTATTCATTCAAAAGCAATTATACAAATGCTTAATAGTTCCATTGTAACTATGTAGATCAATATAATTCATTTTTTTAAGATCTACTTTTTAATTGTAAAAGTTCCGTTCTTAGAAAAATACTTTGTAATTTTACCTAATTTTAAAGTACACGTAATTACCTAGGCCTGTATTGGAGCTGATATTAAGTGAGGCAACAATCTCCTCGTCGGCACAATACAACTTAAATTAATTTAACTTAAAATATAAAATCTACTTAAAATAGGAACTCTACTGCATATAGTAAATTATTTCTTTTTATTCTTCTTCCTTAGCTTTTCCCTTTTCAGTGGTCCAACCATTACAGTGTTTGTTCTTATATTTTTTTTGGGACTATAGTCATCCTGGCTCTTTCCCTAATCAAGTCGTTTCTGATCCTGTCCCTTCTAGTCTTACCCAATATCCACCGTAAAATTTTCATTCCAGCTACCTCCATCTTTTATTTCTGGATCTTTTTTACAAGCCACACTTCACCACCGTACACCAACGCAGGTCTCACTACACACATATCTGTAAGATTATTCGCTTCCAGTTAAACCAAACAACCTGTATCCTGTAATCAATTTCTAGATCTAGTGTCCAATTTTCCATTATGTAGGAGTTAAGATGTTTAAATTCTCTTACTCCGCCTAGTTTTTCTCCAAGCAATTTTACGTCCATAATCATTCATCTTCCTTTCAACCGCATATACTTATTTTTCGACCTGCTAAATTTAAGTCCCCCCTCTTCAATAGACCTTCTCCAACACTTCAACCTCTTCTCCACTATCTCTTTGTTCTCCTCTACTAACATGATATGATCAGCAAAGAGGAAGGAGCTCCTTTACTTTCTCTGTCAGTACATCCATAATAAGATTAAACAGGTAAGGACTCAGTGAAGAGCCTTGACGCAAACCAATCGTCTTTGGAAAACTTTCGGTCAATCCGACAGCAGTCCTTACTTTGGTGCACGCTCCCTCATACAAATTTTGCACGAGCCTTACGTACTTCTCAAGAACCCATTTCTCTCTCATACATCTCTATAACTCTTGTCTAGGAACTGTGTCGTACTTTCTTTGCCCTCTTAGATCTATAAATATAAAATGTAGCTCCCTTTTCTCCTCGATGTCTTTCTCTATGATCTGTCTCAGCACAAACAAGGCATCCGTTGCCCTACTTCCTGGCATAAACCCAAACTGTTCTTCTCCTATCGATGTCTCTCTCCATAACCTTTGCTCTACAGTTATCTTACAATTTTTTATTGTATGCGACATGAACTTTATCCCTTTATAGTTCTTACAGTCCTGAATGTCTCTTTTGTCTTTATACAATGATACCGTCACACTCTCCACGCATTGGGCATCCTTTCTTCTTCATATATCCTACTCATCATTTGCCACAAAAAGCAACCCCTTCCTCTCCTAGAGCCTTTCAAACCTCCACAGGTACTCCACCAGGTCTTACTGCCTTACTGTTCTTCGTCCTATTTTACGCCTCGACAACTTCATCTCTCGCTATCATTAGGGATTATTATCATTTGGGATCCCACGTCCTCATTCTCTCCCCTGGGGTTCTTCGTTAAGCAACTTACTAAATTACTCATACCAGCTTTGCTTTATTTAAATATTGGTTCTTGCACTCTTCCATCCTCACGCTTAATCTGCCGCTCGTGGATAAAGTCCTTTGTTGACTTTTTCCTTGGTTTAGCAATGTTGTATAAAAAATATATGTTTGATTGTTAACTTTTCTTCATAGTTGGCACATCTTGGTTCTTATTTGTTGGAAAATACATGGCTATTAGTTAATCTCGTATGATTCAATCTGAGTCGCGTTAATATACCTGGTCTATCCGACTTATTGGTAATGTGGGCCAGAATTTTATCGATTTTTTTACTATCGCGTACCTTGGCCAATGAGACTTTTCACTTTTCTTTCCACATATATCGCACTTTACAATCGGCCGCTTTCAGCGTAAACGTTTCAGTGTACTTCGCACTATCACTAGTTGCAGCTTCTTTTACAGTGTTATCTGTCTTTTCATTTACTTGAATTCCAACATGAGATGGTAACAGCAAAATATAATATTTTTTCCATTCAGTTGAGCGGTATGTACTTCTTGTTTTATCTTAATGGCCAAAGGATTAGTTAGGTAGACGATTGACTGTATGGAACTGTATGGTGAGTATATTATAATTAGTACTATTTAATGCGTTGACAGTAAGGGTGGCCTAATATAAAGCGTATAGTTTAGTAGAGTAAATGGAGTATATAGTATTTTACTATGAAGGATGTTTGTATTTATTTGTCGATGTTGGGGTTATGACTGCAGCACCAACACCTTCCTTTGGTTTAGATACATCTGTGTATATATGTGCATAATCCTTGTAGTTAGATTTGATTAACTGTGGGTTTGTTAAATGTTTGTCTAAACAAATGAGGCGGATTAAGCACTGAGGATTATTTATTTGCCATGGAGAAATTGAGGACGAGTGGGAGAGAAAGCATTCTGAGAACGTGTAGTTTACTTGATTTAAGTAGCTTCTAATTTTTACGTAGAAGGGTTTGGTCATTCTTGACGTATTTCTGAAGATATTTGGAACCTTTTTTGTAAAATAATTTTGAATTGTAGGGGTTTTTGAGTTAGACCTGATTTTTGCGGCATATTGTTTTGTGCGAACAGCATGTAAAAAGAAATTGTGAAGACTCTGTGAAGTTTTTTAGCAGTGTTCTCTTTGCTGATTTCTGAGATAATTTTCAACTGTATTTTTCATATTTTAGGTGATATTTTAATAACATACAGTACAGATATAGGTTGGACACCATGTTTCCCAATGCTTGCAGGGATCGTAACAGAACTAGGAGGACTTATTTCTCATGGTAAGTTTAGTTAATTTTATTGTTTAACTCATACTTAATGTTTATATATTTCAGGGGCTGTAGTTGCTAGGGAGTATGGATTGCCTTGCATTGTAGGTGTGCAAAACGTAACCAAAAACTTTAAAACGGGTGATATTATACAACTTAATGGAAATACCGGTGAATTAGGAAAAATTAATTAAATAGAGATAAAATGTAGAATAAAATAAATAAAAGACCATTATTAGTTGGATTTTTTAATAGTACTTTGAATTTATTTGTCAGTTATTGTATTGTTCTGAAGCTATTTTCTTGTGGCAACGACTTATACAATGGTAGATAATTGATGGTGATTTACCAAACATTGCACCAATTTCACTGTACATTCGACCACTGTTACAGCCCTAGCAATATCAGTCGGTATTAAATCGCTCATTTTGACTTGCGTTTTGAAATAAGAACACCACTGATTAAAACAAATCAAAAGACAAATCACTTCTAACAAACTAAAACAAATTAAATTCTAAATTAAATACATGTTTGCATGTGTTATCAATAGTTAGTAAGCTTTAAAATGTAAAACACAACGCAAATAACGAATTAATTTGACGTTTTGATATTTAAAATTTTATAGTGGCGAAGAGCATTCAAATCTATCTAGATATAGTCTATAAGATAGAAATATAAAGAAATTCATCGCATTAATAGGTTCCTTTAAATTTGCCGGTATGTATAGATCAGTTTAGCTTTCAAACCCCGTGTTTTGTAACAAAGCCTACGGTGAGCCTTTCGAGGTGAGCATTCCACGTACGTTTTCTATCTAAAATAACTCATAGATCCTTAAACTGTTATGAGAATGGGAGTGTTGTTGCATTCATGATCGGAGATTAAATTATTAATATATGTTAAAATATCGTCAACCACAGTAGAGGTGAAAAGGCTCCCTCTTGAGAACCTTCTACTACTCTTATCTGATCTCCTAGATATATAATATTCCTAGTACTGAGCACTGATTAAATCCATTTATTGATGGAAGGTGGCATGTTTTGTTATAGTGTCATGGTATATCTTTATACATCGCGGGAACGGTAATATACTCCAGTGAGATGTTATTAAATGCTCCCCTCTATGTCTATGAACTCACAGAATGCCACTTCTTTTGACGAAATTTCCTTTTCGAAATCTAGACAATACCACGCATCGGTTGATAGGCAACTTGTTCTTAGTGAAGAGGTATATTTGACAAATATTCACTTCTTAGTTATATAACAATAAAACACTGAAAACTTTTGTTTTTAAAACTTCCACAAACTTATACTTTTTTAATACTACAGCTGTTTCAGCATAGTGTCTTTTTTAAGTGAGTTGAGGAGGGGAGAACTGTCGTGATTCAGAATTATCTCGGTATTTTTTAATTTGTTAATTACCATAGATTCTAATAAAGATAGCTCAAAGCATTTATTTTAGATGTGAAGAATTTGAAATTCGTCATTAAAAGAATGATTATGACCTAGAAGTTGATGTGCGTACGTAGAATTTGTTTTGCTATTATTGAAAGCCCTTTTATGTTCTGTTATACGTTTTTTTAAAATTCTACCAGTTTGACCGATGTAAGTTTTTGGGCAGTCACCACATTCATACATTACTGTGTACCTAAGTGCTTTTTCTTTTGGCTCTTGTTTAATATATTTGTGTAGGTTGTTGTTTGTTCTAAAAGTTCTAGTGTTATTCCTTTCTTTTCTATGTGTTTGTATGTAATAGAGCAGAAGGTACTGGGTGTTTTCTCTGGGCACCGAATTACTAATTCCATGGCTTTCTTATGTAGTTTCTGATTTAAATTTTATTTATTGTTTGTTGTACCCATTTTTACTTCTATTTGCTTAAGGATGTTTAACTATATCTCAAAGTTGTTTTTTTGACATCGGAATTTTTATTTTTATTATAATAATTTTGTGGAAGTTTCAAAAACAAGAGTTTTCGGTGTTTTATAAAATGAATTTGCATCAATCGGTCGAATCTCCATCTCTTATATATAAGTGTTTGGTATTTTCTCCATACTATTTAAACCGACAATGTACATTATTCGGATAATGAAATCGGTAAATTAATCAGACCAGTTATTATTTATCCGACCCGCACTTGTCAAGTTGTGTGCCAAGAACGATTTAAAAGTTATTGGATAGTCTACTTTCTTCGCTAACAGGTCAACATCGTATTCATATCATAGTATTTTCATCCATACCACAATTTTCCTTTACGCAATTATGTTTCATAATGATATTAAATAGTAATGCGCATAGTGAAGCGCCTTTTCGGATATCACTTTAAACGTTAATAGATTTTGTCAACACACCGTTTACTCGCGTGTTTATTGTGTTTTCTCTATAAATGTCTTTAATTAATTTAATTAGGATTTGTGGAATTTCCCTGTTGCAAATCAATATCATTCTTCAGCTGAATTATACCAAAGGATTCCTTGCCGCATAGTAAATACCTCTACATGAAGATTTCATATCTTAAAATTTGTTGTTTGTTGTGAAAGTATGTATTTTGTTAGTTATTACTTTAAAGATAAAGAAATTATAAAGCCACCTTCAGAGCTATGGTCAAATATGAAGAAAGCGCTCAGCTAGGAATTAAATGCTTTACACACTTTGAAAGTACTTTTCAATTGCAATTAGTTTTTACTTTATTTATCAATTTTCTGTGAAGATTCTGCTAATCTCCTTTCTTAAACGTGGACATCGCTAAAATTAGTCTTCAGCTATTTAGTATTCTATTATGCTCAAACATTTTTTGCAACAATTTTGTGGTTTTCTCTACCAATGCCAAACTTCTATATTTTAGTTAAAATATCCATGTTAAAGTATTATTACACGTTACAAAAAGTATTAACGCTTTTTTCTGGTATATTCAATATAAATCAAGTTAAACTACATGTTTTAGAATATATATTAGTATAAATATTACAATGTACAATAATAATTACTAGACAAAAATAATCTAATAAGAAAATGAAACATTTCTTAATTATTTATTTTCTTGCTGTTTCTTAGCCAATCTTAAAACGTGCAAAATAACTTCGTCCACAGTTTGGTTATTTAAAAGTTCTTTAACAGCATCGTCGTCGATAACTGCAGTAAAGAGTAACTTGGCGTTCTCCCTAATTCTCCCTATGTAGTCGAAATCTTCTTCAGAAGCTGGTGTATGTCCACAACGCTTAATAACACTATCAAGAACTCTATCAACAGGAGCGTCTGGGTAACCAAACTCCAGGAGACACTCTTCATCCACCAAAAGGGTCAATAATTCTTTAACAGACTCTGTCAACGTCAATTCATTCCATACAATATTCTCAGTTATAGTCATCGGTGAGGTACTGACAGCTGTTAGCAGTTGTTGTTGAAGACGTTTCTTCTCGGCACTGGCTAAAATATCTTCCAGTACATCTCTATGCCGAGCCCTAATATGTCTCATCAGACAGTCACGGCGGATAAAAGCTCTTCCGCAGGTCTCGCAGCTGCAAGGTTGCTCCTTTCGATGAATGTTCATGTGAATCTTTAGGGATGATTTAACTGCAAAACCTTTATTGCATACTTCACACAGGAATGCTAAAATAAAAATAATATTAATTAAAATCATGGAATATTATCACCAGTTCACTACATAATGGAATAGACTGCTCTGTTACTTTGCTATATGGTGATATTGAGTACGGGCCATAGAATAACTGAGGATTTAAGATAAGATATATCAACAAAAATGATTAGATAAAATGTTGCTTCATTCCGAAATACAGGTTGTTCAGTTTAACATTAAAAAATAATGACCACATTTTTTACTACTAAATAAAATTTTACTAAATTTGGTAAATTGTTTAAGTGTCATAAGTGAAAATCGGAATATGTATGCAATATGCTCTTTTTAACAATTTCGACAGTTACAAACTATAAAAATATTCTACACATTGTTAGTATACTCTGTTTACTGAACTCCGTCCCAACTGTATAAATTTTGTAATTAATTTTTTGCTAAGTTCATCAAATTTTGACTTCGACTGGAAGTAGCTGGAAGTTATTGTATAACCAAGTCTTGGAATTGTGTACTTGGCAACACTGGTTCACAATGTCAGTAGTGATTCCAGTTGTCAAGTCTCAGTTGTAAGCATATTTCAGAATGTAGCACATAATATAGTTTTTAGTATTTAAATAATTAACTGCGAAATCATAAATACCATAACTGGGAAACAAATTCAAACAGATTATGCGCACAGACCAAAAATTCAAAATCAAAAAGAAAAATGTGAAATATAAAAATAAAATGGCTAATGCAATTGTGAATGTTCCCCAGCTGGCAAAGGCTACAAATTTTAACAACTGGAAATTCAGAGTGAAAATACTACTGAAAGAAAGGCAATTGTTAGATGTGTTGGAGAAAACGGAACAAAAGTAAAGTGAAGCAAAAGAGGAAGCAGAATTAAACTCAGATTTATTTCAAAGGTGAAATCATCATGTGTAATGTTTAACAGACAAACACTTGGATTCAGTTAAGGATGCAAAAACTACCAAAGAAATTTTTAAAGCCCTGGAAAACATATTTTAGAAAAAAAGCGTATTTACAAAATTAACATTGAAACGTACATTATTACAATTGAAGCTGGAAAGAAATAAAAAATTGGAAGATAACTTTCTGTTGTTTGATACGCTTATAAGAAATTTAGAAAATGCTGGTTCAAAAATAGAAGAAGAAGACAAAACGTATGCTATTTATTACTATCATTAAATGAAAAGTATGAATAAGTCATTACAGCTATAAAAACGATAAACATAAGTATTAAAATAGACTCTGTAAAATACAGACTAATAGATGTACAGATTTAGTCGTGACCCACATCCCGATGCAAAGCTTCAATTGAACGGAGTCCAAGTTAAGAAAGTTCACAAAATGACATATTTGGGAACTGTGATAACGGACCAACTAGATCCAGATATAGAAATAAAACGTAGAATAGCAATGACTAAAACTACTTTTATGAAAATGAAGTCATTTCTTTGCAATAACCATCTCAGTTTAGAACTAAGGCAAAGAATGGTTAAGTGTTATGTTTGGTCTGTACTTTTGTATAGTGCAGAAGTGTGGACGCTAAAAGTATCGATCATGAACAAAATTGAAGCATGGGAAATGTGGGTTCATAGACGAATGCTGAAGATACCTTGGACAGCAAGAAAAACTAATGAAGAAGTACTAAGGAGCGTCAACAAAGACAGAGAACTGCTCAAGACTGTTAAACATCGAAAAATGTCTTATCTGGGACATATAGTAAGGGAAGTCGATATAAAATTTTACAACTGATCCTTAAAGGCAAAATAGAGGGCCGTAGAGGTGTAGGAAGAAAACAAGTTTCTTGGTTAAAAAACATTCGTGAATGGACTCAGATACCAAATGCAGGACAATTATTCCATATTGCAGAAGATCGAGAAGCATTCGCAATGGTGATCGTCAACGTCGAATAGTTCTGATATGGCACGCGAAGAAGAAGAAGATGTGAAGAAGAAGTGAAACATATAAATACTCAGATACCAAATGCAGGACAATTATTCCATATTGCAGAAGATCGAGAAGCATTCGCAATGGTGATCGTCAAGAAGAAGAAGAAGATGTGAAGAAGAAGTGAAACATATAAATAAAATCAAGGTAAACCAGCTAATGTTAATGAAATGTCATTACAAGCCAGTCAGACAATAATTTGTTATAAATGTCACAAACAAGACATAAGATATCAAAGTGTTGCCAATTCAAAAGTAGGAATAGAGGTCACAATCCGAGAGGCAATTTTCAAGGACATTCATGAAGTAAATATATACAAAATCGTACAAATCATTATAGTAGACAAAATCAAGGTGGTAAGCAGTCATAGGCAAATCAAGCAAATGAATTAGCTTTCATCACATCAAGTGGTGTAACTGCAGCGTATGACATAGCAAGTCTCAATGTACAGATATTCATTCTAGATTCTGGATATACACAACATATGGTAGTGGAAGAAACGGTTAAATATATGGTAGATGTAAAATATATCAACACAGTGAAAATTGTAACTGCAAAGAATGGTGAGGTATTGGTAGCAAAAAAAGGTAGGTACAGTAAAAGCTACATGTCAAGAACGAGATATTAAAATAGGAGCGTTTATTGTGAAAGGTATATCCTATAACCTCATGTCTGTTTTTAAATTATTGGAAAGCCGTTTTAGAGTATAGATGATAATTTATGGCATAGGAGATTATAACACAGAAACAATTTAAAGATGTTAGATATTGGATGAAACAGAGAATATAAGTTCTGAAAATTATGATGAATGCATGCCAAAGATAAAAACAACATAAACAGGAAGAAAAAGAAACGCATCCAAATATTTAAGTGAATATGCCCTTGTTTAATATCAACACAAGAAATGATATTTAAAGCTATGAAAATGTCATAAAATATCCAGAATGGGTAGAATCCTTAAAAAAGGAGCTACACTCACATTAAAAACTAAATACATAGACAGAAGTAGAATTACCTAATCATAAAAAAGCTACTCAAACAAAATGGGTTTCTAGAAAAAAGGATGATGGAACTAAAAAGCCAGAACAGTAGCCAAAGGTTTTCAAATTAAGGAGGAGAGTGAATTTGAACCAAATTACTCAGCAGTAGCCAGAATATTAACAATTAAACTGTTTTTATCTATAGCAATGCAAAATACAATGGAAAATCAGACAAATGGATATCCCAACTGCAGTTTTAAGTGGATTAATTGAAAATGATGTCTATATTTATGCACTAGAATGACTTACAATAAAAACTCAAAACTATTAAAACTGAATAGATCTTCTTCTAGTAGTGCCTATCCGTTTCGGACGTTGGCGACCATCACTGCAATCTCTATTTTGCACACTGCTGTTAGATTTGTAGTTGTGTTGAACCACGTACGTAATTTTTCAGCCAGGAAATCCTTTGCCTATATCACTTAAAATCGCCTTAAACTTTATATCGCTTAGAATAATCGTCAAAGGTAAGGAATAATACATTCGATTAATTTGCTACTCAAAAAAACTTTGAAAAATTTTCAGGCATCAGATATAAAAGAAGATAAACGTTTTTATATTCGAACATTACTAAGGACAAATAGACTAATACTGTTTCTTTTAAAATTGATCAAGAAAGATTTATAGAAAAACTGGATCATTTTAACTTGAAGAAATGTAAATCAAAGATGAGTGCAATAGAAAAACGATTTCAATACAATGAGGACAGTGAAATTCTAACTAATATTAGTTATTTTTATATTGTCCTACGACAGAGTCATGGAACGATGAAAAAATAATTTTAACATATGTACAAGGAAGTAACTGGCATTAACTTATTATAAAAATACAGATTATCAGATAAAATTCAGAGGATATTCAAATGCCGATTGGGCAACAAATAAGAAAGATAGGAAAAGTGTGAGTGAATTTATATAATTATGTTGGTAATAACTGGTAGGTACTGAGACTTTCATGAATCTTAGAAATAAAATTTATGTTATTGAATTATTGTATTATTTTGTTAATTATAATAGTTGCGATTTTCATGTTGCAACATTTCAAATCGAGGAAGAGTATTGGAATTTTGTACTTGGCAACACAGGTCCACAATGTCAATAGTGATTCCTGTTGTCAACTGTCACTTGTACTCTTAGTTAATGATAGAGCAAATGTTTAATTTTAATTCTTACTGTAGAATAAAGTATTTCAATAATTAACTGCGAACTCTTAATTACCATAACTGGGGAACAAATTCTAACATCAAGTACACGTGCCCATAGCCAATATTAATTGTAAAGTAAAAAACTATTCGCGTGCAATTTATTATAAAAATAAAACTGCGTCAATTATATATTTAAAAAAGTGTCAATGTTTATTTTTGAAATTGTATAGTCGTTTTTAGATAAGTATTTACTAAGGGAAAGTTTTATTCAAAATAATGCATACACTTCCATTATCAACGATTATCCTGTTTTTTCAATTAAAGAAATCTTCAACAGTAAGTATACTTCAGCTGTTAATAAGGTAGAGTCGAAATTTTTGTGTTGTATGTTTTCAACAATGAATATGTCAAAAAATTCTCAAACTGTATATTCATGGAGGATTTAGAACAAAACATTTGACATAAACAAGACAAACAACCTACAATATGGTGGAGATGTGTAGATGATGTATTCTCACGGACGATGTATTTACTTCATTTTCTGGATGTATTAATCACAAAAGAAGATACAGGATAAGCCACCAAAGTTTACAGAAAACCAACCCACACCAACATATTTAAATTACCACTCAAATCACAACGTCAAAAAAGAAATTATCAAACCATTATATGATAGGGCCCGAAACACATGCTCCAATGGGAATGCATTTGAGTAAGAAAAAAACCTGATAATCAAGGTAATGACAAAAAATGACCATTGTCATTATTAAACAAGAAATTTCACAAGATTGGAGAAAAGAAACAACAAAACACCACAAGCAATGTAAAAACACTCACAAGAAGGGATTCAAAGATGACAACAATACCATATGTAAAAGGCTTTAGGAAAAATTGAAAAGGATAGCAAATAAGTACATCATAAAAACATTCAAAACCACCAACACACCAAGATCTATCCTGTCTTCCAAACCCAACAACACACATTCGTGATCAAAGAACTGCATCTATAAAATACTATGTGGATGCAACAATTTCTATGTGGGAGAAATGGCAACACCACCACTAAGTGTCGGGATAAACGAGCATGAAACATAGATCAAGAACAAAGACTTGGACAAATCTGATATGCAACCATGCCTGGGAGTACAATGCAAAGATGCATCAATAATCATGAAAAAAACCGAAAGAAAAAAAGCAAAGAAGCTGCTTTCATCCTACTTAATGAAGAAAAATGTGTACCAAACTCATCAGCAGAATGTAACAGGATTTGGTTGCCAATACTTAAAAGATAAAGTCAACAACAAGAACATAAAGCAATACGTCGCAAACATCATCTACAATTATCTTAGACAAGGAAAGAGGGGGGACGCGTAATTCTATAGAATTGACTGAAGCCTAAACCGGCACCAGAAATGTTGCCAGGTCATATTTTATTTCTTCTGTAGATTAAGAATAATGGATATAAATATCAATAAACGAATTTTTTCAAAATTTATAATTGAACATTCATACTGGGGAACAGTTTGGTTTTACAATAAACATAAAGAAAACAAAAACCATGGTTATCAGTAAGAGGGGCAAAGTCATTACAAGGATCCAGATAAAAAATGAAGATATTGAACAAGTGGACAAAATGAAATACATAGGAGTCTGGATTACCGAAATCAGAAATTCCCTCAAGAATAGAGCCATCAAGAGCAGCCTTTTTGAAGATGAGGAAATTTCTGAGTAACCAAGACTCAATCTGCAAATCAGATATCGGATGGCAAAATGTTATATCCACTCTATTCTTCTTTATGGTGTCGAAGTCTGAACTGTTAATGTTGACTTAATAAGAAAACTGGAAGCTTTCGAGGTGTGACTTTTTAGGAGAATTTTGAAGATACCATGGACCGATCATATTACGAACGAAATGGTGATGCACAGAATGGGAAGAGACAGAGAAATTTTGACCACCATTAAAATGCGAAAAACAGCATATTTGGGGCACATACTTAGAAATGATAACTATGAGTATTTACAGCTGATTATGAAGGGTAAAATCGAAGGAAAAAGGGGTCCTGGTAGACGACAAATATCCTGCCTGAAAAACATTCGCGACTGGACCGGGTTAAACACGCGGATGTTCTTAAAAAAAGCAGAAGATAAAGACGAGTTTGCAATGGAAATTCAGTGCAAAAAAACTCAGTTGACCTGGTAACAATATAGGTAGTAATTGGCAACGTACATGCACCAAAACAGGGCGGTTACATCGAAACTGGGTTCACTTTGCGAACGTTTATTAAATAAGTGTTTACCTGTCCTCTCTCTTTCCATGTCTAAGACAATTATACACAATACATATGCAGCACACAATACACAAACATATAATCTACGTTAATCACACATTAAACATAAAACAATAAAACACACAGTCAGAATTTGATATTCCGAGAATAAAAACACCACCTCAGATTTTTCGTCAATCAAAAGAAGGCTAATGCCTACAAGATCGAGGCTAAGTACGTCAACCGTCAGTTTTAAAGAACATCACCTAACTTAACAACTTCTTGGTTATAATTTTCAATTTTTGTGTTAAATGTGAAACACACAATGTTTTTGAAACGTCAAACGTTTTTTAAAAATATAATTTTCATTACCATCAATTGTGGCTTAACCCCATATAGACATAATATATTACATCGTATATGATTTTGTTTAGTTTCATATTTATCAGAAGTCACTCCTCACCACCAGAGCTAAAATAAAAGATTCTGATTAAAAAGATTTGTACTTACGTCGTTCCCCGCTATGGGATAACATGTGCCTAGCTACGTCTTCTTTTCTAAAGAACGTCTTATCGCATTTTGAACAGGGGAGTGGTTCCGCTCCTTCGTGCATGAACTTGATGTGCGTGGTCAACCTAAGGTTTCTATTGAAGGCTCTTCCACAATACTTGCACGTGTAGGCATTTTCTCCAGTATGGTGGAATATATGTGCACGTAATTGCGAAGGTTGAATAAAAGATTTGCCGCAGAATTTGCACTTATGTGGTTTCTCACCAGTATGTGTACGGTAATGACGATTAAGAGTCTCTTTGGCAGCAAATGTTCTATCACACTGAAAAATATTTACAAAAACTAAATAGAAACAGTATATAGAGAGTCCATTCCAAGTCTAAATTTAGAAGTAATCACCTTAAAACTTCATACACAAATTTACATCACATTTAAAACTTTAGATTATCGTTGATATAAAAAACGATATTCAAAAGTTTAAATGAAAATCTCAATTATAGATTGATTTATATAAGTTTTATAAAAAAAATATGATTTAGAGCTGACTTTATTTCTTATTTAATATATACTACAAATTTAAAATATGATTTGAAGGTTATATTATTATATTTTTTAAATAGTAAAATATTTTTATACCTCAATATTGTTCTAAAGCAATTTTCATGTGGCATTTTAAAGTAACTACTATTTAAATGGGAATAAGTCACAATTAAAGGTTAAAGTACGTTTATTGACGTTTCAATTTCCACTTCGGAAATCGTTCTCAAAATACAAATTTACTAATGTTTGCGCTTAAAGTGCAGCTTCTTTCAATCTTAAAAAAAAAACAGAAAAAAACGTAATTGATGAAATGGCAAAAACCCAGAATAAACTGGTATTGAGACTGCCTCCGTATCACTGAGTGATTTAAATCACATAAAACTCATCTGGGCAAATATTAAAAATGATAGTGCAGAAAAAAACACCACATTCAAATTTTATAATTCAATTTCATTAATTACACCCGAAATATGGAAGAACTGCATTTTACATGTTCAAGAAAAGGTAGAAAAAGAAATGTGGCGGCTAGACAATATAATTGAAACACATCTTGAACCACTTGTTATAAACGTTGATGATAGTAATATATTATCCAATTCATCAGAATAATTTTAAAAAGTAGCCGAGATCTCGATCTATGCCATATATTTACGCCGAACTCAAACGAATTATGAATAACTTTGTATTTTTATTCCAAAAAAACTAACCGTTCTTTGTATCGCATTTTTGCAAAATTAAAATATAAGTTTCGTATTATTCAAGATAATACTTCTGGCAAAACGAAAAGATAATCCTAAATGCGGCCCTGTTAGAGGCGATTACGCCTTTTGCATAGCTGATTGATTTTTAGTATACTCTTAGACTGTTTACACCGAGAGTCCGATTTTGGACTACTTAAAGTAAATCCAGTTTGCTCTTTGCATATTTCTCTTTGTAGGAAAGTTAGTCTCCCATTAATTAGGTGTAGCATTATTTTCCTAGCAGTCGTTAGGCCATTGCTTGGAATGCCATATTTTGTTACAGAGCAAGTGAAGCAATTTTATTCCGGTTTCTTCTGCAGCTTTGACTATTTCTGCTGTTATAATATCTGGACCTGGTGCTTTGTTATACTTGAGTTTACTGATCGTCAGTCTTATTTGATTCTTGAGTATGTTAGGGTCTTCTTTGATTTTTTCAGGAGTTTTGTGAACAAGTTCCAGGCGTTGATCTTGATGTATATTCCGGCAGTATAATATAATTTCCATGTCTCTGCTATGCCAATATCAAAAAACCAATAATGAGGTGTGTTTGTGATTGGTATTTTATCTGTTCAAAGTCTTACCTGGCATTTAATATTTGCACTCGTATTTCAAATCTTTACTTACTTCAAAGTTGTTACTTAGATTCCGTTTATTATAATTGCTTTTTCCATATTTTCACTGTCTCTTTGAAATATTTCTTTTGCATATAATATTAGAATGTTCTTGTTTAGATATTAACACAATGTTTTCCAATAGAAACTAGTACACCAAATAATCACACGTTCTCAATAAGTAAACCATCAGTTCAAAGAGAATTTGCCTATATTCCGAGCAGCGGTTTGTTGATGTTTTAGGAGGTCATGATATATGAAAAAATTAAGAAGAATATTTTGGACATACGGATATATTTGGATATTTTTGACAGTAGATATATTAATTGTAAACGATACCGAACAAATAAAAATTTTAGTTACCTGTTGATACAAATTTCAACAGAAAATTATTATAGTGCAAGAAACTGTTTTTAAGAGTCTTAAGAGACTGTTTTTTTTTTCAGCGGTAATCATGAAAATAAAATTATTATTACAAAAAAGAAGTCATAAAGAAAAACAGTAAATTTGATAAGTAATCATAAAATATTTTCATATATGAAAAAGAGGGTTTTCATTAATTGTATTCCTAACAATACGAGTAAAATTGAAAAGTTCAGTAATATGGAAAATATAAACAGTAATATAATAAAAAACAGTATAATTATTTTTCGTATTTATTAAATTATAAATAGTCGGATAAAAATGATATTTTTAATATTTTTAATTTTAAAACCTATAGAAATCGATTTTTAAAAATATTAAATGTGATAAATTTGAACAATATTTGACCCGAATAATTTTGATATCGAGAACGGAGCGAAAGCGATAGTATGTACGAAGCCTAAATAGGTTAAATGATATTGAAACAGTCAAAAATGGCGAAATATGATATCTTTGATGTTTATGGGGACAAATTTCTACGTGAAAATCAACCTTGTCAACCAACCATTGTTCAAAATTTCAAATGAAAATAATAGCACACCGTGATATTTTTATACAATGTATTCTTTTAATAGTTGTAAATATAATAAGCAATGTCAGACAAAAATGAATTATTTGTTAAATTTTTTATTTAGTTCCAAAAACTAAATTAAAATTAAGACTGTAGACGTAAAATTTTGGGCCAATGCTTTTTAAATGCATTCATTTTTTTCGAATCCTGAGAAAATTAATAAGTATTTTTTAAAACTTTAAACGCAAAATGAAGGATTACATTATTACCGAGGGCCGAAAGTCCCTGAGAAGTTCTATAATGTTTATTTTAGTAAGTTACAGGGAAGAAAAGAACGAAAAAATTAAGTGTGATTTTTAATTATTTCAAATATCTCATTCAAAATAAACTTTTTGTTTATTCTAGGGAACTTCGGACTCGGCCCGGTAATAATGTAGTCTTTCGTTCTGCCTTTAAATTTTTGAAAAATATTTATTTTCTCAGGATTCGAAAAAAATTAATGCATTTAAAAAGCATTGTCCCGAAATTTTGCACCTACGCTATTAACCAAAAAACTTCACTTTATCAAATATTCAAACTGAGCTCAAAATCAGTTAATCAGTTTAAAGGGGATATACTATATAGATATTGGACAAGTGAGATACCAATTCGAGGAAGGTCCTGTAAAATTTGATATAGTATCACTCCATGCGTGACCAAGCGCTTTAAGAAAATAATAATAGACGCTGCAGTTCACGAGTTATTTAATATAAACTAAAACATCATAGAACACTCGAACCATGACAATGTGTGAAGGTGTTATGTCAAGGATATGTTATGAGGTATGGCAATTAAGTTACGAGACTGATTTTTAAGGAACACCTGTGTAGTCACCCATATATTGAAATGAAGCTAAGATTAATATTATCACAAAAATTAATATCAAACTAACCGGCATTCCGGGTTGAACCGCGTCAGATTTGAGTACACCGAACTTTCGACTCCACCTCTGAAGTCTTCATCAGGACTTTCAGAGTCTCCTGAGCCTCAGATCACTTTACTTATACATTGTTCACTGCATTACTGACTACTACACTGACCATTTAAGTAGTGCAGAAAACAGTTTAGAGTCTACAAGTAAACTAGTCTGGAACTCAGAAGGCCGAAGCCTCGAAAGCTCTGTTAAAGACTTCAGAGAGGAAGTGAAAAGCTCGGTGAACTTAAATTCGATGTGGTTCAATTCGGACTTTTAAAATAATTGTCAAATATCGAAGGTCAAAAAATTGCGGTCAGAAAAAAATCTTGCCCGTTGAGGATGTTCAAGTCGAAGAGCGCCGCAAGCGGCCTGTGACTTTAAAAAGTGACTTGAACGGACAAAAGTGACTAAAATGGTTCAAAAAGACCGTCGATTAAGTATTAGGGCAATTGCTAAACATTGAACATTAACAAAAAAACTTTTAAGACAAAATTTTACATGGCTAACATTTCTAAAGACGGAACAGAAGATGGTTCGTAAAGACATTTCTGACACCCTAAAATGCATCTAAAAGGTGTCAGACTTCTTGTTAATGGTCGTAAATTGTGACGAAAGATTGATTTTTCATTATGACCCTGAAAGCAAACAGCAATCCATGCAGTGGAAGGCTCCAAAGTCTTCCAAATCAAGATCACAATCAAATCCAGCCTGAAAGGAATCCGCCCAGAGTCATTAGAGGACATAAAACAAAAACGGGCACAGCTACTCAATAACATGTCGGAAGATATTGAAATGTTCACATGGAGCGGTGTAGGGATGCGGAAGAAAAGTATATTGAAGATGAAAAATGAAAAATCATAAAAAATTGCTAAATAAAGATATTATACCAGGTCTCGGAAATGAATTGCAAGACTCTGTATATGTCACTTTAAAGAAATTTTATACTTTTGATTTGTCTTATATACTATACATGAAGAAACCCAATGTTTGCCAATAATAATAAAGATAAACAAAAAGAAACTGTGTAACTATTTGTTATCACATGTTTAATTTGTTCCATACAAAATAATGTAGTAAAAACATCCAATAATGCCAACTATATGCGAGGGGATAAATGACGCCACAGTCACGCAATGAGCGAATAGAATCCATCTTAATTTTTACATAATCACGCACAAGAAAACGTTACAACATAATGTGAACTATTAAACATGATAGATATACTAGACAAGTCGAAATGATTACCATCACTGAACGGCTAAGCCGGATAAAAAAGAATTCGGACTTCAGATCAACACCGGAAAAACAAAAATAATGATTGTAAACAGAGCAAATAATAACCTAACGCACATACATTAAGTGGCGAATTTCGAAGTGATAGACAGATTTGTATACTTCAGCTCCCTGATAAACAACAATGGCGATTGCTCCTCAGAAATCAAGCATAGACTAGCAATGGCCCGAACCGCAAAAGCTAAACTGATTAAAATATGGAAAGACCGAACAATAACAAGGAATCTAAGCTTAGGTTGGCCAATGCCCTTATTTTTCCCATTGCTAGATACGCAACTGAAACGTGGACCCTCAAAAAAACGATAGGAATATGATCGAAACCTTCGAAATGTGGGTCTAGAGAAGAATTTCTACGCGTATCCTGGACAGAACATAGAACCAACCTATCAATTCTGGAAGAGCTTCATAAAAAAGACAGGCTACTAAAAAAGTAAACCGAGCATACCTAATTTACTTCGGCCACATAGCTAGAAAAACGGGGACCATGGAACTATTGGTAGTAGAAGGAAAAGAAAAAGGCCGAAGACCTTTTTCTCCAGGTCTCACAACACGATGGACAGACCAAATGAAGACTGTGGTGGAAAAATCCCTACATAAAGTCGATCGGGCACAGGATCGCAGCCAATGGAGGCAGCAAGCCAATAATATTTAAAGTTTCACCACGCCCTGATAAGGGCTCAAGGAATGAGGAGGAGGACTAGAAAATAGGTTGAAAATAATGTAAAGTGATGGGTGTCAGGAAGATATTTAATAATATTAATATTATAAACTAAATTAATAGCCAAAGAAATTATCAGACATTAATTTGGAAAAATTTGCATCGGCCGAAGTTAAACTGACAAATTGGCAAGAGATATTCGCACGTAATGAATAAGCATAATTAAAGGTATTCTGCTACATGCAACAGTCTAACGATTTGCTTATAAATGAAATATTTTCAAAGATCAGATTCAAAATATACTAACCTCAAAACAACGATACGGTTTTTCCCCAGTATGCATTCTTCTATGTTTCTTCATGGCTCCGGTAGAGGGAAAAGATTTTGGACATAAATCACATTTATATGGCTTTTCTCCTAAAAGCATGTAAAAGTAAATTTTTTACTACTAACCATCGACATGTAGGATATCTTATGTATTATAATAATATTACATCTTAGTATTTAAGTTTAGTCTACAATGGTATTTATCTGTTACGATATACGGATGTATACACTATGGAATACATACTAGTATAAATAAATGTGGCTTGAAAAGTAGAGAATTTTAATTACCAGATAAGACAACCCCTCGCCAAATTCTTAAGTACCATGAAATAGAGGCATTTTAGATTAGATATGAGGGTCCAGAGGCAGATTACGTCAGTCCATATTCAGCGTTCGAAAGATGATGTGTTTTGGAATAATATTTAAGACGAATTTAAAACGTAATTGACAGCCGGTCAATATAAGATGTAGGATATAAGAGTTTTTTAAGACGGAATTACTTCAAATTCATTTTCATTTTAAGAACAAGTAATTTTGGTCTAATTAGTTCACAACACAAATTTACGTATTGTAGTATAGTCGCCTCGTATTTCGGTGAGACTGTGTAAGAATATATTTATCTGTAATAAAAGCAGGCAATAAAAATTAAAATAAAAGTAGTCTACCAGGAGTAGTTATTAACTGCAAAATTATAAATGACTGAGATGTATTATAATAAAAAGTTTTAATATTCCCATCGATATGCCTGGTATTACGTTTGAAAAGATGTACAGTCGCCCAGATAAAGTTATCATCGATGCATTCTTTGCCTAAGATAACAATATTTGCCTGAGCGACCGAAACCATAAAGTAGTTTATCCAAATAAATTTCGTTTCGACCGTACAGTGGTTTACACTTGGGTAGGTAGGTATAATACAGTAGTCTCTCTTTATAACGATTCCCTATATAAGGATATTTCCTCTATAACGATAAATATAGTAAACGTTGGTTGGTTCGTCATAAGGACAACGTATTAATTCTTTCTTTGTACCGATATCGTTCTCTCTTTATAGCGATGACTTTTCAGCGTTCAATAGTCGATGAAAAATCTGTTATTGTGTTTATTTAAAGTTCAGACTACTTAAGTCACGAGTAGCAAGGCCATTGTCCAGCGGTTGTTGTGTTTTGCACTTAAGGAATGCAGCCACCCATTCCATTCATTCTTATCAGAGGGTTGACTCGCTTTTATTCTTGGGTGGCGTACCTAACTGTTACCACACAGATGTTGTCATCTATTGACGACTTTTTATTACAAGTTTGAGTTGTGTTTCAGTGTGTCAACAGTCACATGTTTTCAAAAAAGCGTAAAGTGCTCTCGGTGAAGAAAAAGTTATCGATAACTCGAGCAATAGAGAAAGGTGAAAAGCAATCTGATGTCGTCCGCCGTACGAGGCTGCCTCAGTAAACTATTTCTACGATATGGAAGGACAAAAAAAGTGACTTAAAGCGAAGATAGAGGGCGGTAGCAGTAAGAAGTTGCGGAAACGTCAGCACGATGATTTAGATCGCGCTATGCTTCAGTTCGGGTTACGATCAAAAAACGAAAACTGCAATATTGGGACACATTAGAAGTGGCGAAAGATATGAACTGCTTCGAATAATTATGCAAGGGAAAATAGCAGGAAAAAGGTCCATAGGAAAAAGACGAAACTCCTAGCTAAAGAATCCACGGGAATGGTATAGCTGTAGCAACAACGAATTGTTTCGGTCAGCAGTTTCGAAAATACGTATAGCCCTAATGATCGCCAACCTTCGGAACGAAGATGGCACTTGAAGAAGAAGAAGAAATGCTTCAGTGGTTCCAGCAGCAGTGTATGAACCATATTCCACTTTCACAACAAGTGGAAGCTGCGGCACAAGATCAACTACGGCCAAATCAGCGGAAAGGCTCTCGATGTTAACAAAAACGTAACGGATAATTGGCTAGAAAACATGTGGCCTAGACTGAAGGCACGATATGCGTCAGACGACATTTTCAATGCTGATCAGACTGGATTGTTTTTTAAAATGACACCAAATAGAACTTTAAAATTTAAATCGGAAAAGTGCGTTGATTGAAAGCTCTCTAAAGTAAAAAAACCCACGTTGCTTTAAAAACATAGAAAATCTACCGGTGATCTATAAAGCAAACAAGATTGCGTAGATAACTTCTGATATTTTTGAAGAAGCTACAAGAAAGTGGGATATCGAGCTTAAAGGAAAATAAATTCTTGGGCTTATAGACAAGTGTACTGCTCATCCTGTACTGTGCGACCTTCAAAACATTAAACTTTGTTTTCTGCCCGCAAACACAACGAGTGTCCTTTAGCCCATGGACCAAAGTGTCATCAAGAATTTGAAAAGCCATTACAAGAGAAGACTTTTAATGGAATTGGTTAAGAACAATGGCGATCTTAAACTAAACATTCTTGACGCCATTCTAATGATTAGTAAATCTTGGGACGAGATAACGAGCAATAACTAAACATTCCTTCAAACACGTAGGATGGCTGGAAGATCAAGGATTGACTGAATATGAAGATGACCTGCCATTAGATGTTTGGGCCAGACAGTTTGAACTTACTATCACCTACGGACCGGAAGAGCTAACAGATTTTGAAGAAATTGATGAAAATATAGCTACAACATCTGGACTTTTTGCCAAGGACATCCTACAAGCAGTTCGTATAGAAGAAGAAGAAACAGTGAACCGGAAGTGGAAGCAGAGCCAGAACCAACTCCGACCTCTCAGCAGGCATTGGATGTGGCAAAAGTACTGTATTGATTCTTCATCCACCAGGAAGACGATATGATTGCTGTGGAAGATTCTATGCGTCTTCAGGACATGGTCAGGTCAGTTCTGTGGAAAGGGAAAATGAAACAAACCAAGGTGACAGACTTTTTTGATAATGTAGGCTAAATATATTTTACACTAGCATATTATTTTGTTATTGTACAGTATACATGTTTTAATTGTACAGCCATTTTTTTTGTACTTCATTGTTTATATTATTCTTTAATAAATCTATGTGGTGTACAGTGTAATACAGTGTTAATTCATTTATATTCATTTTGATAATTTTTTAAATGAAAATAGGTTATTTAGTACAGTATTATTATTATTACAGTTCCGATTTTGTCTTTCTCTCTCTGTATAACGATCTCTCCTTATAACGATGAAAATTCTTGGTCCCTTGCATATCGTTTATATATTACTTTATTTTTAAACGAAATATTGTTTATTTGGATGAAACCTGGTATGGTACTCATGCAACTGTGAAAAAAAGTTGGACGAATAATAACAAAAAGTGTTCTAATTCAGTACCGCCCAATAAAGGACAGAATTATAATTTTACACTGCGCTGTAGAAAATGGATGCATCGACGATGTATTATTAATATCTGCAAAAAAAAATGAAAGGCGTGAATCTAGATTATCATGAGGATATGGAGGGTTCAAGTATAAAAAAAGTTTAACTCAGGAACCATAGATGTAAATGTTCAATGTTTTTTTTTTTCAAAAAAAAACAGATGTTAATTTTTATAAAACTCACAAAGAAAGGAAGTACGTAAAAATATGTAAAAGAACAGTAAACTTTATAATTTTACGAAGATACTTATAAAATGTGGCACCCGTGGTGTGAGAATAATTTGCAGCTGAAAATCCAGTGGATCCCTCTAATCAATTGGAATATTTACAAAGCTGTGTAGTAAAATGTAAGCAACATTTTCAATATTTCTCTGATGATCCCAAACATATGCTAAAATATGTTTATAAAGGATTGTGATCTAAATTGTCTAAATAAGAAACAATTGTAGAAACATGTTTATCAGAGTGTCGAAAGCAACCTGCTAAAAGACTCTAGGAGCAACATTTTCTTCTAGACTGATGAGAAAGGGTTGTGCAAATTCACACAAATAGAACCGCACCTAAAGGAACATATAATCAGAACAATATATAAAATGGAAGTGGCTAATATTTTTCCAACTATTGAAAGCCTTCGAAGTGAACTGGTTCGAAAGGATATTATCTTATATTCAGCAACAACACTTTGATGATTTCTTAAAACCCATAATTTTAAGTAAAAAACTATACGACAAGCGCTAAACACTAATGGAAAGTACTAGAATAATTATTTCTTAAAGAGATATTTCTATCAGATAGATAACTGAGTATCAAAAAATGAAACGAAATCTTGTTTATTTAGATGAGACTTGGTGTGATACTCATGACAGGACAGAGAATTGTAATTTTACACTGCGGTGGAGAAAACAGATGGATCGATTATGTATTATTAATATCTGCAAAAAAAAGTAAAGACGCGTCTTTAGATTATCATGAGGATATGAAAAGTTTAATTTTTGAATCATGGTTTGAAGAATTTCTTCTTCCGAGATTACCTAAATATAGTGTGCTTATCATGGACAACGTATCATATCATGCAAGATTAATGAGAAAATTCCAAATAGTACTTGAAACAAATTACAAATTCAAGAATTTTTATTTGAGAGAAATTTGTACTTTGAGGCATCATATAGTAAAAAGCAATTGTTGGAGATTGTTTATAGTAGACAGTACCAGAAGGTATATGTTGTTGATAACTGTACTCGCAGTAATGGGCATACCGTGCTTGGACTTCCTCCTTACTATTGTAAATTGAACCAATAGCGTTAATATGGACTCAACTTAAAGCAAATAGAAGAAGAAAAAACGTGGCTCCTAAATTTTTGTCTACTGCTCTCCAGTTAATTAGAAGAGAAGTCACAAAGATCACAGCAACCAACTACAAAAATGTAATCAAACAGGTAATCGCAGTGGAAAATGACTATGTTAAATATTTACCAGCAATAACCAAATTAACTATAAATTTAGAAAATACAACTGATAACAGTGATTCTGAGTAGATTAGTAAGTTCTTATTTCCAACTAGCTGTTAGTTGAAACCTTTATTTTTATTGTAATTGTAGATATTCTCGTTTTGCTTATATATCTTTGAAAATAGAGTACAAATACACTAAATGATAGAACAAAAACGTACAACATATCGTTAGGTTAAAATGACAGGGTTCCA